ACCTTGCCAACGCTAGGACAACCCTGCCAACGATAGGACAACCTTGCCAACGCTAGGACAACCCTGCCAACGCTAGAAAATCCCTGCCAACGCTAGGACATCCCTGCCAACGCTAAGACATGCGGCGGCCATTCAGCGTTTGGCTGAGTTTGGTAGTGAGCTGCGGGATAAACGTTAGCCAACGTTTGCTGCGGCGGTAAAGTGCAGGAAATGAAGGGAACTTATTCCAAGGCAAATAATGTCTTTATTCGAAGAATAACAGGTGTAGGCAACCCTTCCGGGGTAATAAGGGACACCCCCTGGGGTAATAAGGGACACCCCCTGGGGTAATAAGGGACACCCCTGGGGTAATAGGCCTCCCTCCTGAAACCCCAGGACAAATCGCATGCTTCAATGGGAATGTACCGAGAAGAGATGAAACTACTCATCAAATTTATCAATAATACAGCGTATTAGGAATCATTGCGTTCAGGAGAACCTTAATTGAGGCATAAACGTAGGAACATCCAACAGCATTCAAACCGTATGACACTATTTAACAGGGCACACTATAGTAGTCATACGGTAGTCATTTAACACTACTAGGGCACACTATAAACGGTAGGGAACACTTTAAACAGCAGGGAGCACCATAAACAGCAGGGAACACTATAAGCAATAGGAACACTATAAACAACAGGGAACACTATAAACAGCAGGGAACACTATAAGCAACAGGAACATTATAAACAGCAGGGAACACTTTAAACAGCAGGGAACACTATAAACAACAGAGAACACTATGAGAAACAGGGAACACTATTTACAACAGGGAACACTATAAACAGCAGGGAACACTATAAACAACAGAGAACACTATGAGCAACAGGGAACACTATTTACAGCAGGGAACACTATAAACAGCCGGGAACACTATAAGCAACAGGAATATTATAAGCAACAGGGAACACTATAATCAGCAGGGAACACTAGGACAAACGTAACTAAATGCGGACAGAATCACAATTTTGAAACTAATTTGAAGGAAAGTGTCGCAAATAATTTGCCGCTTCTTGCTTCCCTCAGAATTTAATTCCAACAATTGAGATTAGATAGTCCGATAAAATGTTATGTTTAAAATATAATAGTTGATTAGTTTCTCGAAATGATGCATGAAGAGTACTCCATGCGGGAGAGTAAAAATATATAATGCCATGCATTGTTGTCTCCTTTTCTACACGACTGACAATATTCTAGTTATAACACAGACCCCTTACTTTTCCTGTAAGATTTTTATCAGTACCATAAATTCATTCGTAGTTGCATCCCTATAAAGTATTTCCTGTATACAATAATTTTCAGATGTCGTCTAGCTTTTCTTGGCCAGCAATTTCCTGAATGGCTGGATTTACTGGCTTAGAGTTAGTGGTTTAGTCGCAGTCCGTCAGCGGAGCTCAAGTTGCTCGCGGCCGAACACCGATCTTGCCGAGGGAACTGAGAGGGCGGAGAGTTATAGGCAGGTGCTTCCTCTGTAGCCAAGTGAGCGTTTCCTTGAACTGCAGTGGCGCGCGACTACACAACGCCCTGGCACGAGTCTGTCTAGAGATCATTCTTTCAATTAGGACGCATATTTATATTAAACAATTCATATTCATATAAAACAAGCAAGAAATTTTCATGAGAACTAAATTGAATGCAAATCTTATGACTCAAAATAATAATGAGGCTGACCAATTCTGACGCCATGTCACATTATTGCATCAAATAATAATGAAGCTGACCAATTCTGACGCCATGCCACATTATTGCATCAAATAATAATGAAGCTGACCAATTCTGTCTAAAATAATTATTTTTAATCTCTAACATAAGGAATTAACTGTACTGTCTCGTTGCGTCCACTTCTCATCAATTGAGAGAATTTTCCCCTAATTCACCCCTAACTTACCCGGTATTTACCCCCTATTTTACCTCTAATTTACCAGGAATGTTTGGTCCCAGTGCCGTCCCGTATTTAAAATAAAAGTTGAAAATTGTCTCGATATTTATGGGTGATTGGTATGAAGTTTTTAGTATCGTCTCGAATAAAGGAATATAACGAGAAGTAGTAATTTGTTCTCGAGATTCACCTGCACGTCACAACCAAATCCAAAATATTTCACAGCAACAAGTGTGCTGCCGTGTGCTTATTGTGTACCTCTTCTGCTGTGCCTTTACCATCGCATATGACAGGTCATGGATAAAGAAAGAATTTGTTGGAACGTTTGTAATAGGAAACGATGCTGCGAATTATTGGGACGTAAAAAGTGTTTTCCCGCATTGAATATTAGTTATTAGTTAGATTAAGACGAAGATGAGTATGAAGTGTTATAATTATTCCTTCTTACAAGAAGGAATAAAATGTTGTAAAATTTACCTCAGTCATTTTCATATTTCTCAGAGTTTTTTTTTAAACTTTAAAATGTATGCAACCATACAGTCCACACATTTTAATTTGAAATAATACCCTGACTGTCTATTCAACAGCACTGTGGTGCTAGCTGTTTAACACTCATAACCACAAGTGTTAATCATAAATCATTTTGTAGTTTCTTTAGAGTATAAAATTGAAACAAAAACAGGAAATCTTAGCAACGAAACGTAGCCATTCTGCCGAGCAACATTATGCAATCGATTCCAAACTGAACTCGTTCATTTTACTTAGTATTCCCGAATAAAATTCTCTACACGTCCAACCGCAGAAAATGATTGTTTAAGAGGTTAACTAATTTATTATTAGGCATCGTCATATGCGAGATTTTCAGAATTTTTGTCGCAAGGTAAGCAATTTTTTTGTGTTGCATTTCAAATGCAACACTTTAAGGAACAGAATATTTATCCACATGTTAGTGAAACCTCTTGTAGTAACCGAGTCGTAAACAAACTACCCTCGTAGTTTGCCAAGAACCAAATAGCAAGAGATGATAGTAGATCACTGCCCAAATTTATTTTCAGATTGTATTGTGGTGCTCCGTTCTCTTATATTAAAAAAACATCTCAAAACCATTTGTTATGCCTCTTCATGGTAACGTGGCTTGCTCGATGGCTAAGCTAGAAAGCTTATTACTGAAGGCCCAAAGTTTTTGCTCTAGGGATGGGAGCACCTTGCACTGTTTAGTGTATATAGTATGCGCACCATATATGATTAATGTATGGAGCCTGCGCAGCACACAGTGTTACAATTATAATGTTACAGAGATTCCTAAAGTTTTTTCTATTGAATTGGACTGTAAGAAAGAAACTGTGTACAAAGCCACTTCAACCTCTCGTTGGGAATTGCGAAATATTGCGAAATATTGCGAAATATGTTAAATAACTCTCAAATTTGCTGCGTGAAGTGAACCAAACAAGAAATCGATTGCTCAACTGTTATTTTGAGTCTTATACCACGATTTCATAGATTTCCCGATCTACATTGCGATGATTGGTTATTCAATTAACAGAACTAATTATGTTGAAAAATATTCCATCTTCTTTATTATATGAATCACTAAAAAGCAACAATATTTCTAACATATTCGTCAGTGCTACCGCAGTGCTCATGTGGTTGGAGCCTCAATAGTGCCGGGTGGGGGCAAGGTTTTTCAGGCTCACGACTTGTCTTGCAGTTCTGGGAGCTAAATACCGAAACAGTGTAACAAGCTGTGCGANGATTGGCGCAGAGAGGCGCGGGTTCGATCCCAGCGCTGTGCGCCAGTTTCTGGTCAGAATCGGCAAGGAGGCCGGGCGATTAAGCACAGCAGAATTGTAGCAGTGAGTTGCGAGTTCGAGACCGCTAAATGCTGTGAATGTTCTGCGATGTTCAGAATTGGCGACAGGCCTACGGCCTAATAAACGCTGAAACCGTTATTATTATTAACTGGGAGCGCGCTCTCAGAGACTCATGAGGTCACCGGAAGATAAACTCCCGACGGTAGCCAGTTACCCACATTGGTCCCGAAATGAGTCACACTCGGAATTTGAGCGAGTTTGCTTAGTAAAATTAACTTCTATGAGACTTTATGAGTTATGCGAAGTCGGACATTAAGAAATGTTTGCATTATTTTCTCAAGTTTAGTTTAATTGTTTTCCTTCCGGTCACAGTATTGTGAAGCCGAGTATCCACAAATTATAAAAGACAGCGTGAATAAATCTTTAAAATTCTTCGTGTTTCTTCGAAGAACAATTCTGAGACATTAAAAGAAGCGGGTCCAACAACATCAGGTTAGAAACTTTCAAATCTTGTTTATTTTTTTTTAAATTTCTGATACCTTATTTCCGTCCATCTCAATGAGAAAACTTCAATTTCTTCTTCTATCGATAATAAAATTCAAATTCAGACATCAAAGCTTAAAAACACCCATCGTTTTTAAAATAGATTTCCAAAATGAGTGGTTGAATGTTGCTAGGATATTAAATTAAAAAACGATTTTGTTTCCGCTTTATTAGGACTTTTATTTGCTATGGTCAGGAGCAGCGACGCGAGTGCATGATATTTCAGAAGATGTTGACTAAGTCAATCAAGAGATGTTATAAGCGGACTGACTGACTTTGAAACGTGGCCGGCTTGACTGACTCGCTGAAATATCTAACACTTCGCGGCCGCAGTTCGAAGAGGGAAGTGAGCATCACTGACATCGAGCAGCCTTGCCGACGTCAGCTTACGCACCCGACCTCGACGAACCTGCTCACTTGCCAACAGGTTGCATGAGAACAGCTCCAGAAAACCTCTCGTCCAGATTTGAGCTGTCCGCGATTGGACACCCCCGCCTGCCGCGCACCAGACGCGGTTACGTCTGAGTGGTGTTGAGCGCGGCAAGCGTTATAGTCACGATCATGAGGCTAATGTTCCTGTCCTCATATGCGGTCACTCCAGGCCTGCAACTTTCCTTGACTGAACTCATTTACCTGAAAATTGTTTCGGTATATCTGTTTCTTTCATTTTTCTATAAATTGTCGATCCACGGCTAAAGTCTTAGATAAAAATAGATAAAATGACCCCAAAAGAACCCGGTACAAACAACGACAGCAAACTTTGACGAATACGAAGACAATAGCGCACAAGCTGCAGGAACGTCCAACGACAATCACTTTCAAGCAAAGAAAAAGTTCAACATGACATGACCACAGAGATGATAATTAGACGAAGACACTGCAAATGATTCACAAAACTCAATACAAACGAGGCGACTACGTTTAATGATGGGACTCACTTGTGAAGATCTTGATCATTCAGCAATTTATGTCGATCGCTACTGATGGATATGCGATACATAATATTGATAATTCTGATGTCCTAATAATGAAAGATGTTACATTGTCGGATTCTCACTCTCTGCTTCAGCTATCTTCTTTGATGGTGAGTTCAGCTACTCTAATCGGACTGGAATGAAACATGAATGTATTTTATTTTTCGAATTATCAGAAAAGGAACCGATGATGATAAGCCAGAAGATGGACGGTGTAGTAGTCCATCGATTCTTGAGTAGTTGAGATGGTGGCGAGACTGTGCTGGTAATATCCGATGTTTTCCTTAAACTTATGACGAGGGATGTTGTCCTTACTTCATCGTTGTGATTTTCTTGACAAAAGCTGCAAGTAGAAAAAACGTGGATGTGAAACATATGCTACAACAGCAAAATTATTATTATAATTAATAATAATTATTATTAGATTACCTCGCACATAATTAAGAATGCGCGAGGTGTTGAAAACCTTGGGAATTCAAGATTAATAAATAATAATAAATAGAAATAATAAATAATAATTAATAAATTATTCCACTCAAATATTGTTCAATCTCTTGAGGGAAAAAACAATCAATGAAAATAATTGCATTCGCGATGTAGCTCAAGAAAATAGCAATGAGCTTCGACAGGTTTTCCGAGTGCCACGCTGGAGTTATACTATTTGAATTTCAGCAGTCCGTCTTGAGGCAGAACTGAACGCCTAAAGCACGATAAATAGCATTCTGCAAGTTCGCTCGTCTTACATGAGTAACTCAAAATATAAGAAGGTACTTAATTTTGATGCTCGCAACCTTTTGTATATAGAAACTTTTATGCACAGAAACTTGCTAAATCATTAATTGGCACCACAGAAAAATTAGCTTGCGCAATAAATTGAAGTACACCGAGAAATATCCAGGACCCATGCCACAAGCTTCGGTGTTCATTTGCCGTGAGGAGGAGAAACATTTGTCCTGTAGTCCCAGCAGCTCCTGAAAGCTGTTCTACAATCATAGTTATTCTACAGGGAATAAAAGTCGTTTTGATATTAGAGGGATGACAAGCGGAGAGTGCATTGAAGGTGATGACGCGAGCAGGAAGAATCCCTTATGATTCGATATCATTTTCCGCGTTCATCATGGGAATTATTGTTAAAAAAATGTATTTATGTCAGTGTTATTAGAGAGTTCTTATAATTTGAAATCAGTTCTTTTCAGAATCGAAAAATCAAATTGAAGGTCGGGGAAGAGAGGAATAAAATTCTTCAAGCTACACACATCAACAAATTAAAAAATCAAATTTCCACTTGTAAAGTCATGCCTAATTTAGAATAACGACATAAAAACCGAGGATAACCGTGAAACCAGGATAATGATCTGCAGGGGGAATTACAGGAAGCACACACGGATACGCTTGAGACAAAGTTGCGTCTTGCTCACTACTAGGGGATCGGAGGAGTTAAAACCTTGTTCCGGAGGCGTTCATTAGGATTTTTTCATGATAGTAAGCTTCCGACGATGTTGAAATACGCGAGCTTCGTTCCAGCAACAATAAAACATACTCTCTGACTCCTCGATCAAACAATTGGGGATAATGGTACTGGCATGACGCTTCATTACATACCAGAAGATCGACCACAAGCGCGGCTATCAGCGCAAGCACCTCATAGAGAGTTTAAAGTATTGCTTAGTACACTAGAAAATGGGTAAAAAATCCGTAAATTATAAATAGGTCACGCTTAACATATTAATGTTCACTCGAGGGCGGAAAATAAATCATGAACTAAATACTGGCGGTTAAATCCATGGAGCTGTTGCAGTCCAAAAAACGTAGAGGGTAAATCGAAGTCGAAACAAGATGAAATAAAGGGAAGTATAATGAAACTTGGATTGTCACTCCGTGGAGATTTTCATCGCGAGCAAACTACTTACGATCAATAATTGTTCAGGGTTTGACTCCTTCGCAAATCTTCTTAACGAACGCTGCAAGGCAAGAAGGAAGGAAACACTTTGTTAAAGACAATTTGGAGTTTATCTCTTATTTTATATAAATATAAATATAGCACAAATGGCACGCCTAACACAATGAGACAATTAACTATTTTATTATGAATTTAGTCACTGTTTAGAATGTTCTGCCACTATTTAAAGGTATGAGACGCGTGGCTCACTTTCTGATTGGACTTTAAATTAAAATTTATAGCATGAATATAAACTTACAAAAGAAAAATTTGACTAACTCGAAACGAATTTGTAAATTATTTGTTTAAAAGCATAGTAATTTTTTATTCTTTAGCTAGGTTTTGAATCAGACAAAAAATATATCTAAAGAACTTATTTAATGCAACCCGATTAGTTTTATGAGTGCATTCAATTTGACAGCGCGACGATATGATCAAAGAGAAGGTTCTGTAGATGGCATCGTGAGCTTGAGCTAAGCTGAGCCAGCTGATCGTCCATCAAAACCACCGCATTGATGAACAATCAATAAAATAACCGGGAAGAAAAGCCCAAAGATTGAATGTGATGGAGGTGAGAGCATTTTCAGGAAGAATATATGGAAAGGCACTTTCGAGTCTCGGCACCTTTAAGAATCGGTACCTTTGAGTCTTGCAACCGAATTATGAGCTTTGTAGTCTTAATATGTATCGTAAATATCGATGCGATGTTTCCTAATTACCATTGCAAGCTAAAAAAAGATAAATGTTTTTGATATTTGTGAAGAATTTCAAGCAAATACTTCCATCCCAGTCAATCATTCAAAATGGGCTCCATAAAAATGTTGGGAATTGAAGCGTTTGTGGACTCAGGGACATATGATAAATCGATGAAAAAACGCGCCGTTTGCACTTGGACCGTTTAAAATTTAAAATTACTCGGACCTGAACTGCCTTGTGGCAGATAAAACGTAAAAGATATGTACGTCAGGGGCGCAGTGATAATCCAACTATAGAGGAGGGATTTTCTGAATAAAGAAACGGGGCTCCCGGGATAACTGAAATATGGGCAGGGGACGAGCTGGGGGCGTAAATAAATACGTAAGAATTCGTGAATCACAACGATGCTACAAAATGCTATGCGCTATTTGAAAGCTGCAACTAAAAGCATGGGACTCGAAACTATAACATCGTAACCGGGACGCGGAGTGACAACGCTGGTGAGTTGCCCATGACTCGTCTTGCTTACTCACGATGAGGCGACGCAATCTAGGGTCTGACGCCATCGCAGAGCTTCTTCAGGAAAGCTGTGAAGGAATCGTACAAGAAATAGTAAGTTAAAGGTTCACTTTGAGGCTTGTGGTGATTGTGCGCTTGTGGCCACGTAGCTCGTGTGAGACTGGAAGTTGGCTGAGTACTTGCGGGGGCGCCAGTGTAAAGCAATGTATTGAGCGGGTCTTGGGTAACATTTTTAAAAGTGCCACCTGGCAAAGATTTCTTCTATGTAAATTGGTACATAAACTTAGAGAGATGGATGCAGGCTATTTACAACTAAATACATGCAAAAATTAGAGCGTTTAAATTCGTTAATAATTTGATTGTGAGTGGTGTTAGGTAAGTTTTTTATCCACATTCTCCTCACGAATGTTACTCGTGGAATTGCAATTCTTGAGAAGTGTAGCAAAATGTCTCGGCAGCCGCATGAAGCAAGCGATGTGTGCAGGAAGCTGTTCGGTGTCTCTTGGTGCAGCAGACGATGTGTGTAAATCGATAAGCGCGTTTGGTGATTTGCTGAGATTTACACGAGTGAACTAAATAAATTAATGTATATTAAATTTAAAACTAAACGGCGCGCAGTTTTATATTTTTTTGCAACAGTTTTGAATAGCTTGAATTACCGAACTTTGTTTATATGCAATGACTTCATTATTTTATTTGCGTGTCTACCTTGGACACCGCGTTCATCCGTGTCTACCTGGGACACCGCGTTCATCCGTGTCTACCTGGGACACCGTTCATCCGGGTGTATCTGGGACACCGTTCATCCGGGTGTATCTGGGACACCGTTCATCCGTGTCTACCTGGGACACCGCGTTCATCCGTGTCTACCTGGGACACCGTTCATCCGTGTCTACCTGGGACACCGTTCATCCGTGTCTACCTGGGACACCGTTCATTCGGGTGTATCTGGGACGGTGTTCATCCGAAAGAAACTAAATTCGCGTGATTCGAAATAGACGCAAGAATACTGCAAACTATATTTTGAAATCCAAATCAAGACTTGAAATGTTAAAATCTTGCTTTATGCTAGATTTTACTGATTATACTCATTCATTTGATTTGTTCATGAAATAGAGCAAACGACATACAAAACCATAAAAATTAATTTCAAAATGTTATCTTCGAACTTATTCAATAAAAAAAGTATATGTTTTGAGGAAAATATAGTTCATGAAAAGTATTCAGTATAAAATTACGAATCGTTCGTTGCTTGAGTAGAAGTTTGTAAAAATACCAGAATTAGCAAACTCGATCACGGAATGGCAGATGAGTGAGGCAGTGTTTAGCATTTCACACATAAAACTATATTGTAGCTATGAGCGCACCATATATAATAGCGCAGCGAAGCACAAATAAATTCATGGTGTAATGGTATTGCTATTATCGTATATTGTAAAATTCGGAAATGGAGCACAAGAAAATTTAAGGTCATTTCTAATTACAAATTTCACCATGACAATTATCTTGGTTCAGCTGGTTTATTTAACAGTCGTATTTTCAAAATCTAATCTTTCACAAATCATCTCGCAAATTGTTGGATCTGATAACAAATCTAATTAAATAAGTGCTATAATTCTATTTTGTTTTATTTATTCAGACCTTCCGAAAATTATGGACGTTGAAGTTGCCAAGTCTTGTGAGACAAGTTTCATAATGTTTCAAAATATTTGCGCAATGTGTGATGCGTTAACGACATTACATATAATAATAGTAGTTGACAATTTGTTCTAATAAATGTCTCAAAGAAAAGGACATTTTCCAAATTAAGCTAAATTATTTTAAGAATCCTCCTTAATTTGGCCGTGTCATTGTTTACTTGCTTCTTTTTTCCAAGATATCTCATTTCTGATGTTTGAACAACAGAAAGTTCGCGAAAAACGACAATTGTGATGTTTCAAGGCAAAGGATTAAAATTCTACTGCCATAAAAATCCCGTGTTTACGACGTTTGAAAAATGCGATATAGATAAAAAAAAGCTCCGACAATGTTGCTTCAAAATGGCCTTTTGAGAGCAAATTTAAATTCTGAGCAAGACTCGGCGCCGGTTCAGAGCCGCGCTGACTTATGCACCGGCATCGGAACTGTGAAAGCCTAACTGTGCTGTGAAACTGAAAAAGATGTAATGACAGCACCGGGCCTCACAACTGTGGGTGGGCATGTCCTTAAAAATGGACGAACTGTGCTGTCACTTCTTAGTAAGAAATGAAGCGAAAAATAATGGCACCGTAGAAAATTCTTCACAAGTTATAACGGTTTGGTGAAAAATTTAGTTGTGAAATTAATTCAATAAGACTATTCTATTTTGCCCCCTCTTGTGATTAGTTGTGCGCAGCCCCAACTCACGAGAATGTAGGACTCTCTCTCTTGTCCCCCTATTGATAAGTTGTGCCTATAGGCACAACTTATCATGAGGGGAACAAGAGATATACTATATCTGTATATACTATATAGAGATACAGTATATATAGTATAACTATAGCTTCAACTCACGTTCATATGGGATGAAGCCTTCGTCGTCCTCGGGAGGGCAGCACTCGGTCAGGACGGGCAGAAGTTCCTCCTTCTCCAGGCGCTCACCTGCAATGTATTAATATAATTAATTACTTAATTATAATTAATTTAGTATTAAGTAAGTATCAATAGTGATGGTGCTTATTCGTGTAGTATTTTAGCGGGTCTGATGGAATCCTAAGTACCTACATATATTCGTATAAGGTCATAGAAAAGCATAAATGTTCGGTTAGACACGCTATTTTCGCTAAAGTTTGTCCAAAAATTAACGAGTACATTAGTAAATAAATATGATCAAAGGAGACTCAGGGTTTGGTTAAAACAATCTTTCTCTGTGAATCACTGACATAAGGATTAATGATCAATGCAACGCAAATGGAACATAATTAAAAACAAAGACCATAAGTTTAAGTAATTTAGAAATGTTGCGTGAATCATGATAATCCCCAGTTTGTCAATGAAAAATATGACGAGCCAGAAATGAAAAAGAAGTTACATTATCAGGTACTCAAATGGTGAAAAATTGCATTTTAATGAAAAAGAGATGCTTCTAGAAAGTGTAAATAGACTGCCGTATGTTAACATTCAAAATGCACGCCACAGATTTTTAATCTGATTTGAGTGAACGCGTTTTCAGTCTAGAAATAATCACTCTTGAAAAAATACGACATAATACTCCGATAAACCTCTGATTCAGCTACATAACTTGACCACGATATTTTATTATTTTGTCTTCTATTTTAGCTTCACCCGTGACGTCATGCAATCAAGACAAAAACAAGAACTAACTTTAGTTTGACCTGAAATTATTCTTTAACTTGCTACTTCCAGTTACTTCCTCCTGCGACTTTATTTTGATAACTCTTATTATTAAAACATGAGACTTCATTGGCATATCTTATTTCAGGGCAGCATGAGTAACCTTGAGTAATCCAAATCTTCAGAATAAAGAGTAAGAGTTTAACGTGAACGTAAGAGTAGCTAGAGCAGTTTAAATGCGCACGTTCTCAGCCCTCAGCCTAGTTTTTTTGACAAGTCTACCAGGCGAATGTAATACAATGTATGCTCTTTGCTCGTATTAAGGCTAAAATGCTTAGTTATTAGACAATGACCCACTCATTTGCCAGAAGCCCGCAACGGAATAGATAACAGCGAACCTAACCTAACCAAATAACCTACCTCAACCAAATTAGGAGATGAAGATGTGCTCGAGCTCGGCGTATATCATCCTGCGGACACTCACCAAGGGAGATGAGGATGTGCTCGAGCTCGGCGTACATCATCCTGCGGACACTCACCAAGGGAGATGAGGATGTGCTTGTAGCTAGGATACCAACCTTCTCGAGCACCGCCAGGGTGGGGTTGAGGTTGAGGGCGCGAAGGCACTCGCCCATGTAGAAGGCATCCATGGTGTCGTTGCCTTCGAAGTCGTAGATGGAGAAGGCGAATTTCACCTCTGAAATATGAAAATATTTCATGAGGGGAAAAAATTTTTTTTATAATATCATTCTTGCTTAAATTGACTTTTGAAATTGAAAGGATCGCGTCACAAATTTCACAGCAAAAATTGTCGACTGAAAATATAATAATCGAATATCAAATCAGTACAAGGAGTACGCTGATAATTCAAAACACTGAGCCCAATAGCATTAAATTTTCTTGAATGTGGCAAGAAACAAACGTAAGCGTAGGTTTGTTAAACAACAATTGTTTGTCGATAATGTTAGTACAAAGTAGGACAATCTGATCCCCATCATTGTCTTGTCCGTTTGCTCGCGGCTGGCATTGCTCACGCCTAAAAAGCTTCCAAGAAGAGTTTGTCCAAGCCTCTTGAACTGCGCTCTGCCACATTATTTATACATTAATGGTACATAGGTTGGGATCCTCCTTCTTGCACCTACCAATGTTGTTATGTTTATCTCAAAACATATTCCATGAATTTAATCTCTGATGTAAATCAGTAGTAAGAAACGAATTTAAAATGTTCTTTTTATTCGAAGGTTTCGTGTTGTTTTTCCCAGTAACTTTTATTCCCGAGGCTAGAAAGTCATCTCTGACACTCAACGTTTTACGTTGTTACTCGCATTAACTTTCGTTCATGAGGCCAGAGAGTAATCTCTGACACTTAACGCTTCATGTTGTTACTTGCATCAACTTTCGTTCATGAGGCCAGAGAGTAATCTCTGACACACATCGCTTCATGTTGTTCCTCTCATTGAATTCTGTTCCCGAGGCCAGATTAAATTAATTATTATCTGACATTCAAAGCTTCATGTTTTTCCTTTCCTTCGATACTGTTCTCGCTGATATAAGGACATCTCTGACCCAGTTTTCGCTTGCAAGTACTCAGGTGTTGCTGTTGTTTCGCCCAGTACAATTGGCCTCAACTGTTGAGTTGCAATGGAATTCTTGGCAGGTCCTCAGACGACGGCCGAGGCGAGTATTTTAGGACGGGAGGCTCCCTGGTTGGCGCGAGGCCATTTGTGCCATACCAACTTCTTCTTTATTTTCATTTGTTCGCTCGTTTTTTGGTGATTTAAAAAAAAATATGTTCTCCTTTTCTGCATAAGAACATTAATTTTGAGTCAGCTATGTGCATATTGTGCCATACCAAATTTATTTTATTTTCATTTGTTCGCTCGTTATTTGATGATTTTTTTGAAAAAAAAAACTTTTTCCTTTTTCTCGGGTATATAAGAACATTAATTTTGTGTCAGCTATGTTCATATAAAAGAAAATGCGTCAACGCGATATGGTGATATTGAATCTCATCACTTCCGTGCGTTTGCTTGAGATTCAACGCTGAAATTAATTAAATTGCCTGTGTTTTGTCGGTAAATGCAAACTTTAAACAACTTTTGATATTAATTATCGAGTTCATTTCTTGTGATCCATAAATTTGTCAAGGTATTGAAAATTTGGCAATGTGACGATATTGAATGTCGGCGTTATTCCCCAGCATTTGTTCGTGATTCGATACTGAAAAATATATGAGCTTTTTGTTTTGTTGGTAATTTACGTTATTTCAGGTGTAGTTTTTAGTTTATTGTTTAGTTTATTGTTAGTATTGTATTATTAATTAAGGTTAATTAAATCGATTCAGGGTTTCAAAATATTCGCTGTAGAAATTTCTTATAATGATCATGTCTTGTTTTGTCGACATGATATATGTTGTTTTATTTTCACGTCGTTTTTGCTGAAATTAGTTAAAAAAATACGGAAATTAGTTACAAATATTGTGACTTTGCTGGAAAATATACGTAGAAAATTGTTGTGTTGGTCTGAAGGGTGCGCGTGAGATGTGTCCGTGATGGCTATACGAAATCGATGTCTTGGAAAAATTAATTCACATCAATAGAGGTAAAACTTAATCAACAGACACAGTGGACCAGGCCATTAATTTGGAAGTTGTTTAATGTAATCGTACTGACGAGCTGCGAAATATAAATTCAAGGTGCTACCAAATGGTTATATTCTAACCATAATGAGAATATCTCGGACGATGACAGTACTCCTACGTTGATAAGCTACAAGTTCTTTACAAAAAATACAAAATGTAAACAATCGGAAAGCATTGGGTTTTATTTGTACATCGCTTATAGAACCCGTGGAGCAACTTGATTTTGAATGCTCCGAACGTAATCGCTCAGCCTTCGAAGGATCTAAACCTTTCTGTTTGACCCTTGAATGTTTTGAAGTTAAATACTTAAATAAGAGAGACGGCTTTTACCTCATGGGTCAGGGTCGTCCGATATTATTTAACAGATTTTCATAATATAATATGATGTAATATATTATAATATATATAACGTATTATAGTATAATATGATGCAATATATTATAATATTATATAATATTTCAGAGATGTTACGTATTGTTCCTCAAATTTTCTCTAATAATTTAATTTAAAACTACCATACGAAACAATTAAAAACGTTGTGATATCCATTTCGATCTGATGAATCTGAACATAACTGAATATGTTTTCGTCTTCTGAAATGCTTTCCAAAAGTATCATATCAATAGAGGTAAAACTTAATCAACAGACACAGTGGACCATGCTATCAATTTGGAAGTTGTATAATGTAATCGTACTGGTGAGCTGCAAAAAAATTCAAGGTGATACCAAATGGTTATAACCTATAACCATTATGTGAATATCTCGGACGATGACAGTACAGTTATTTGGACGTCGCTTTTAGAACCCGAGCAGCAACTTGATTTTAAATGCTCCTAACGTAACCGCTCAGCCTTCAAAGGATCTAAACCTTTCTGTTTGACCCTTGAATGTTTTGAAGTTAAATACTTAAATAAGGGAGACGGCTTTAGCCGCATGGGTCAGGGTCGTTCGATATCATTTACAAATGTTTATAATATAATATAATGTTTTATATTATAATAAATATAATGTATTATAATATAACATATCTGGGATTTTACGTATTGTTTCTCAATTTTTCTCTCATAATCTACTTTAAAACTACCATGCGCAACAATTAAAAACGTTGTAATATCCATTTCGATCTGATGAATCTGAACATAACTGAATATGTTTTCGTCTTCTGAAATGCTTTCCAAAAGTACGCAAAGATCGAGCTTATAAAAATGATTACAAAATCAAAGAGTAATTTGAGTAGCAGCTGCAGTTCCTATAGCCTGTCTCGCAGTCTGCCCTAGTTTAGCCGCGCACTAAGACAGCAGCTCAGTCCAAAAATAACGAACGGCACGCGACAGCAGCGCCACAACGAAACGGTGGCAGCTTTCTCAAGTTGGCTTAAGCTTAAGTTTCGCCAGCTGCGAACACGACAAACCAAGACTACAATGATGTGTGACATAACCAAGACTACAATGATGTGTGACATAACCAAGACTACAATGATGTGTGACATAACCAAGACTACAATGATGTGTGACATAACCAAGACTACAATGATGTGTGACATAACCAAGACTACAATGATGTGTGACATAACCAAGACTACAATGATGTGTGACATAACCAAGACTACAACTACGATCGCTTCTTTCTTGAGTGAAGGATTTGATTGGAGCCAAGACTGGATTGGAATTTAGTTCTGTGAGTTAGAAGAAGAAATAATCTTTATGAGAAGATTTAATTTGCGTGAAGGCTTAGAAATACTCGCGTGAGAATTTTGTTTGAAATATATTTAGTCCAGGCGATGCGAACTGTCGATTTAAGCAATACCTCGATCTTGTTGTCTAATGCGATACCTACTGCAGCGTTATGCACTACCTATTGTAGTGTAATACGCTACCTATTGTAGTGTACTGCTATACATATTGTAGTGTAGCATACAACAGGCATATTGTAGTGTATTGCGATGCATATTGTAGTGTAATGCGATACCTATTGTAGTGTAATGCACTACATATTGTAGTGTAATGCACTACATATTGTAGTGTAATGCGATGCATATTGTAGTGTAATGCGATGCATATTGTTGGTTAATGCAATACCTATTTTTGGGTAATGCAATACTTATACTTCATGTAGAAATGAAGCTGATAACTTGGAGCGTTTACGAACAACAGGAAAGATCTCTGCTTATAGAACTTGGTTCTAGGCATGAACCAAGGCTTGTGATTGTGAGCTTTGATTCTTGATGTAAGTTACGCAGGTAATTGTTTTCTGGTTGCGTAGTTCTAAGAGGGCCTTGGTCCTATAAAATAATTGTGAGCCTTGATAATTAATATGCGTTACACGTGTAATAATTTTCTGTTTTCGTAGTTCATAGCGAGCATTCGTTCCTATAAATTTTAGCCTTGATTCCTACTAATGTCATCATTAATATTTAAGTTTTGCTTATCTAAAATTAAGTCATGGCAGAGAGAATTACCGATATCGTTCTTTCGCCAATATTGTTCCATCACCAATACTGTTCTATCAACAATATTGTTCTGTTACCAATATTGTTCTGTCACTAATGTTGTTCTGTCACTAATGTTGTTCTGTCAACAATATTGTTCTGTCACCCATAAGTCAGTCTGAGGTCAACGGCAAACTGAAAATTTGTTATGTTTAATGACAATTTCTGTAATATATCATGACTGAAAACTCATTTTCTGATGCACAAATCTCTAAAGAATTCTTGAATTTGAGCAAAAATCTCACAATCGGTTCAAAATTATGGGGTGAGAATAACTTCTTGTGTTTGGGTGAGTAGTTAGTGTGTAAATTATGGGGTGAGAATAACTACTTGTGTTTGGGTGAGTAGTTAGTGTTTTTAGTTAGTGCCTCTATACTCACTCTCGACGTCTCGAGCACTGAGGTCAGCCTGCCAAAATAAAAAAATATCTCATTAATACTGCAGAACAGAACGCTGAGATTTAATGCATGGTACTTGAAAGGTGTACTTAAAAACCGAACTTACATTGGTTGATATCAGTCGTAAAGTAAATGCAATTGAACATTGAAGTTATCTCATGAAAAAAAAATAATTATTTAATTTAGGACAATAATAGTTGAACCAAAATCTACCCACTAAATTGAGCAACAATGGAATGATTCATTCGGTTGATATCGTGGTTATTTTAAAGCTTAAACATGAATATATTAATTCACTTGATTTTGCTTGGTAGTTGAATGTTCGTCTTAATTTCCGTAGATTTTCATCGCATCTCCTAGATTCCATGTCGAAAGAATTGGTCAGCATTTCTAGACCTCTAGAAATGCTTGAACTTTGTACGTGCAACTAACTATGACCAGTAACACATTCCGAGGCGCTGCTGGCGTTGCAGGCATTTATCGAGTTTCACTTAGAAGTGCATAATTAAATTAAATTAAATTTAGCCTTATTTGAATATTTTCGTGAGATTTAATGAAGTGCATTTCTTCCATTTCTCTCATCACTACAAACTTTTGTTGGAGCCTCAGCAATCTCGTGTTTTTCTCGGTGCTTCTCTTCTTATGAGCCTTCTCGGCTCTTCTTATGGGCACTCTTTTCTCATCTCGAGAACACTCTCTTCTTATGGACACTCTCATCTTTTCTTATGGGCACTCTCTTCTCTTCTTATGGGCACTCTTTTCTCATCTCGAGAACACTCTCTTCTTATGGACACTCTCTTCTTTTCTTATGGGCACTCTCTTCTCTTCTTGTAGGCACTCTCTTCTCTTCTTATGGGCACTCTCTTCTTATGGGCACTCTCTACTCTTCTCATGGGCACTCTCTTCTCTTCTTATAGGCACTCTTTTCTCTTCTTATGGGCACTCTCTTCTCTTCTTAATGGCACTCTTTTCTCTTCTTATGGACACTCTCTTCTCTTCTTAATGGCACTCTCTTTTCTCTTCTTATGGGCGCTCTCTTCTCTTCTTATAGGCACTCTTTTCTCTTCTTATGGGCACTCTCTTCTCTTCTTAATGGCACTCTTTTCTCTTCTTATGGACACTCTCTTCTCTTCTTAATGGCACTCTCTTTTCTTCATCCAAGCACCATCTTGAAAAATACGGCATGTCTCACATTTTCAGTAGTTTTTTCCACTCATTTTATTCATTGAATACTCTTTACATTTTCACCATGTAAAAATTCTCTACCATCGTAAGTTGCTGAAAAATCTACCATCCAGCACTTCCTGACAAGTAACTTTTTGCTCTCACCGACTCTCTGTCTCCTAAATTATAAACTTCACTTGCACTGAAATTGGAACAACTCGTTTTCATAATCCAAATAATTAACCGTCTAATTATTACCGCAGAAAATGCAACTTACCATTTTTGAGTTTGTGTTGGGCGATTGGACACACCACTATCCGTTGCAGCCAATATGACCGGCCTGAAGTGACTGAGCGCTTTCCTCGGGGGCGTCCCCTTTTATACGGCGCAGAGGGCGCTGGTGTCGCCGCGGCAACCCACATCTCGGCCCGAGGGTATTTTGGGCCTCTCTCAAGCCCGGTTTCCTCTAACATCGAGGGTTGCAAGCTGTCGGGAATGTTCGAGTGCGAAGACCGTGCTGCAATTCAAAGAAAATTTCAAAGGAGTTTATCAGTGACGAACGAGATGAACTGTCAGATAGTGTGATTAGATTTTATTCTACCAGAAGTACTTGAAGATTGAAATTTCACAAACTTTTCAGAGATAGTCATTATTAAGAGGAAAATGAACCCCATACACGGCGTACAGGAATAAATCTCATGAAATATCACTAAATTTTGGAATGGACTGCCCTCAGTCATGCTGAGGACTGAGGGACTATGCGACTATCAATTCTAATTTTTGTATTAAAAACCTCGGGGAGGGGGCAGTCTTGAACTGAAAATTTAATTCTTAAATAAGCACTGGAGTCAATGCTCAGCTTCAGTGTGAAATAACCACACTAAGCACAGACAAAAAGTCGCACACTATCAAAATATAAATCTGTGATAAACTGGTTCAAATAATAGAGCCGCAGGTCTTCAGTTAATACTCGCTCAGTCAGTTGTGCCTAGGCCCCATCTACTCCGGCCTAGCCTACTCACGATGCTCCGACTCATAACCTTCTTGAAGCCACTAGCGGCTATGAACTGAAGACTTACGGTGCTATTAACTTTTAGTAGCGTTTCGGTGGTCTGGCTTGCTGTGTTCCAGTGTACTCTGCAGTCAATGCTGCAGCCACTTAATTGCAGCTAAAAATTGAAGACTTACGGTGCTATTAACTTTTAGCAGCGTTTCGGTGGTTTGGCTTGATGTATTATACAGCTTCTTGCTCTGAGGCTGAGTGTAGTTATTGCATGATAAGCCTGAGCGTTGGCTTCAGGTCTAATTTAAGTGTTAATTCGTTGCGCCCCCAGACTATTTATTTACTAGCGAGTTTTTATTGCGCTCCAATGTACACAGCTTCTGTTTTGTAATGACTGGCTAAGTCATTGCAACATCTACTTCATTCATCTACTCATTCATCTACTTCATATGAGATGAAAGATTTTATAAGCATGAAACGATGCATAGACATTTTAAACTAGAATTCTTTGCTAAAAACTGAGGATGAATGATTTAAAAGCATATATTTAGAGTCGTGTGCAATCAAATCACAATTCCATCATAAATCTCATAATTTAAATTACACTAATAATATACAATTGAATAGGTATGTTTGCATCTTATTCTCAAAGCTCTCAATGCTATATTTTGAAAACTTCTAAACCAGGAAAATTTCATTTAAGTGGAAGTTTATACATACACGCTGCACCTATTTTACTCCTGGTATTATATGAATGGTCTTATGCATGGCCATTTATGCATGGTCATTTATGCATGGTCTCCCGTTGAAAAGTGCACGGATCTTTACATGCGCGACGTCGAAGTAGCACAGACGGCAAGGCTAGCTCGATGGGCAAGAAACTGCCAGCATTGCTCATTGTAAGTAACGTGTGATACCAGCAAACTTTCATATGTATAAAACAGCAGCAATTCTTGTGTATTCGACATCAGCAAGAGGCTTCATTTAGGTGATGATCCTTCAATCATGCTCATATTATCAATCTAGTTTCGGTTGGAGAAATAGTTGTATAGTAAATAATATATTTTCACAGCAGGCAGCTTAGTTCACAAATGATTATCGTAGTTCATAAGTATGACGTAAGATGGTCGATGCAACGTGCATAGTCCATCACAAAGTGCGAATCGCAGCGTCGGAGCCGTAGCCTCGTGTGAGGTCTGGGGCCTTTGGTGATAACGTGGGGCTGTGAGACCGTCACTCCTCACCTCCTAGATCTTCAGAGGAGCTTATATCGCAAGTTCACAAGGAATTTAACACGTTGACTACGATTGCTCCGTCTTGTACTATTATTTCATTTTTTGTACTGTTTTTAAACAGGATTGCCAGCCGGTAATTTTTTCAGGACAAATTCCGTGATTTAGTTTTTCTCGATTGCGTTGACCGGCTAAAATTTATGATTGGGGTACTTCCTAATTAAATTTTAAATACTGCAAAAAAAATAAATGGAATTTTTATAACCTAGAAATAAACTAGTATATATTGAGTTATCGGCCTTTTTTGGCCTTTTTTGTTCTCGGATTTGTCCGATTTTTGGCAACACTTAATTATGTACCACTACGTCCTGGAGAAACACATTTCGTGGTACGCATATGTACCACTTCGTACTCAACGTGTTAAAAGCAAAGAAAACGCCAAGCAAATTCACCATATCGATATTGAAAACGTTTCTGAGTCCAGCTCCATTATCAGTTCGAAAAACTAAAAATGAATAAAATGATTTTATTTTTATTCATTTTTAGTTTTTCGAACTGATGATGGAGCTGGACTCCGAAACGTTTTCAATATCGATATGGTGAATTTGCTTGGTGTTTTCTTTGCTTTCAAATTCCTTCAGAGGAGCAGGAGCGAGTCCACCATCATCACCAGACTTGAGAGATATTCGAAGGAGCAGAAGCTAGTCCACCATCATCACTAGACTTGAGAGATCTTCGAAGGAGCAGAAGTCCACCATCATTACCCGACTTGAGACCACTCCAAACTCCACTCCACCCCAGATTTGAACTACGCCAGAAGCAATCAAAGTTAATGCGATAACAGAAAGATGAAAACAACCAAACCAGCAGAACAAACACAACAGCAGAACAAACACAACAGCAGAACAAAAACAACAGCCGGCCCTCTTGGCGGCCGTGACGCGGCCGTTGCGCTGCCAAGAGAGTCCCCCGACGCGGTGTCATCCGTGAGACTCATTCTTTGGCACTAGGCTGTGAACCTCTTTTACTTACACCTCTTGATCTTCAACTCGCAATTCTTATCTCTTGACTTGCACCTCATAACTCCTGACTCATACCTCTTAACTCTCAATTCGTACTAATTAACTCTCAAGTTTTACTTTTTAATTCTCAACTCGCACCTCTTAATGCGCGACTTGCACCTCTTGATTCTCAACTCAAACCTCGTAACTTTTACCTCTTAATTCTCAGTTCTTAACTCTCAGTTCCTAACTCTCATCTCTTGCTCTCAACTCTTACTTTTTAATATAATTTATTAATAACTAAAATAATATCTTACTGCCATTATACGTAAAATTCTTCATCAAGAATATGATGTCAATCTTCCTTCTGTCATTACTTCATTTTCAGAAAATGTGGCCGACGCATTAATTCAGTTGATGCTGGTAATTAAATCGTGAAATAATTTACTGCAGTTTGACAGCATTCAGTAATTTTAGAGGTGTTGTTGCAATGATCGTTACTTAAACGTACTTTTTTGATTTATTACCTCTATCAATTTGTGCGTAGGAGTTCCAAGCATTAAGCATGGTTCATGGTATATTACTTTCACATCAATATGTTATATTATAACGCAGCTTGCAGTGGACGCGTTCTTTAGGTCAATATGTTATATTATAGAATATGTTATATTATAACGCAGCTTGCAGTGGACGCGTTCTTTAGGTCAATATGTTATATTATAGAATATGTTATATTATAACGCAGTCTGCAGTCGACGTGTTCTTTAGGTCATGCCAAAACGAGCGAAATTCCGACAGCGTCGCGTCTTCGATTACCGCGGCCTCGGCATGCGAGCCAACCAAGTGCCAAGTGTAGTGGTGGTGGTGTGAAGGTGTAGTGCGATGTGGTGTGGTGTGGTGAAGTGGTGGTATGGTGTGGTGTGGTGAGGAGGTGGTGGTGGTGGTGTGGGTGTGAAGGGAGAAGCCACAGTTAAAATTATGTTTTTTTTGCACATTCGTTAATATGAATACCGAGTGCTCTAACCAAGCGATCGACCTAAACTCGAGACTCAATGTCCAACACAGATTGGTCGATGTCTGAAGCCCATATGTTCAGTGCGCATGTATAAAAAATAACTGTCTCCCGGAAAAAATGTTTGTTGCATTATACTCCCCTCAGTTCAATGTTACATATATGATGTTACAATGATATACTTATATTATGTACCGGCAACTTGGGTTAGTCCATCCCTTGTTCAGAATACGATGCTACTAATAAGTTTCTGACCCACTTTGGTGCACTGCATGACAATTGAGCGTAAACATGCATCATTGATTAAGTCAGAGGTCAGTGAGTCACGAAACAATTCAAGTTGACTTACGGATCGGCATTACTTATAAAGTTAGCTCCTACCGATATGTGTTGTATATAAGGTTTGGAAATTTGAGTATTATAGAGATCAAAAGCTAGCGTATCTGATATGAAAATTTGAGTTAAAGATAATGTTGACAACGCAATTACAGCGGTAAAACATTTTAGTAATTACGAGTACTTTTTGAAATGAATTAAAGAAGTTGTGTGAAGAAATTCATATATACTATATAATATACACGTCATAGACTCGTCGAACAGAAGTGGCTCGCATATATATATACATACATATATTAATGACCAAAGAATGCAGTATATTCCAGTTTGCAGGGAATCAAAATTCTTCAGATGACGTTAACAGATCAAAAGGCAGGTCTTAGCATAGATTTATAATATATTTAACGACGTTTCGTATGTTTCAACACTCATTTTCAAGTTAATAGAAGGATTGAAGAATAAAATTTTGGTGGACATAAATACTTATGACACCAAAATTTCATTGAAGATTTTTCGCAGTCGAAAGATCTCCACCCACTTCTTGGAGATCTTTCGCAGTCGGCACCCATCTGCATGGTCAGCTTGCTTCACTTGACGTTAATAGCTTTTTCACCAAGGTCCAAACTGAAACAAAGTTTAGAATAGTCAAACATGTCTTTCTAATGAAACTTTGCAGGCGCCATCAATCCCTAAAAATATTCTGTTTGATCTCTCCCCCTCTGTTATACTTCAGAATCGCCTTTCCGGACCCCAGATAACAAAATAAATCAGCATGTTAACGGCGTATAACATATTGATCTCGGCGCTGAAGTGTAGGCCTGATGTGGCCTGTCGCCGATTCTTTTCCTTATCGTGCCTTGTTCACAGAAGATCTAATATCGTTTCATTTGACCGGATATTTTCATGACTGACGATAGTTTCAAGTAGCTACTAGACTTCCACCGGGTTCGATATGGTGCTAGGCATTTCAAATCTCAACATATATTTTTCCATAGCTTTATCTAGTCTGTTCTTGAACGCGTTCATACCTGGAGTGCCAACGATGTCATTGGGGAGGCTGTTCCACATGTCGGTGATTCGAAGCGAGAGGAAATTTTGTCGCGTGGAGAAGTTGCAGCGCATTTTTTTTAGTTTATAGCCGTGGCCCCTGGTGTTGGTTCTTGTTTCAAATTCTAGTAATCCTTCGGGGACCTTGTATAAACCATGAATATACTTGTATAATTCAATGAGGTCCCCACGCTGATGTCGATAACTGAGGCTTGGAAGCTTCATCATCTTCAATCTTTCTTCATAGGACTTGCCCTTCAAGTCTGGAATTATCCTTGTTGCACGTCTTTGAACATTCTCTATAAGTTTGTTGGATGTGTTAGCTTGCGTTTCAACATGCTTAGAAAATTTCAGCTCCTTGTCGATATAAACTGAGAGATCTTTTTCCACACTAGACTTTTCAATCATTACTCTCTCGTTGCAACCATGTCTTCTCATACTGTAATCTTGCTGTTCATTGTTCTTCCCGAGGTGAATTACTTTACACTTGTCAGCATTAAACCGCAGCTGCCACGTATCAGCCCAGTTAACTAAACTGTCCAGATCGTCTTGTAATTGCGCTTTATTTGACGCATCCTTCACTGCATTATAAACTTTTGTGTCGTCGGCATACATGGAGCACACGCTGGAGACTGCTTCGGGCAAATCGTTTATAAAAGCAACGAACAAATTAGGCCCAAGAACGCTTCCTTGTGGCACGCCACTGCGCACTGATGCCCAGTCTGACACGGTTCCGTTAATGCTGACACGTTGTCGTCTACCTACTAGAAAATCTCTGATCCATTGGGGTACATTTCCCTCAATTCCCAAAGACTTCACTTTACGCAACAGCCGCTCATGCGGAACACTGTCAAATGCTTTGACAAAATCGAGGTACAATGCAGGTACCCTTTCGTCTAGCAGGCGAGTCCAATCGTTCAACGTAGATAATAAGTTAGTGGTGCAGGATGCCAGGATCTACCGGCGATAAAACCATGTTGACAATCTGATATGAGATGGTGAGCAGTCAAGTGATCGATAATCCTATCCCTCACAACAGATTCCAACAGATAGCAATGGGCAGTCCCCTTGGTCCAACATTCGCCGAATTCTACATGTGCGAACTCAAAAACCGTGTGTTGTTGGATACACAGATTAAAACCGACATTTACTGTCGATATGTCGACGACATCTTCGAGACGAACATCGCATGATGGAGCTGCGCGCGGCTTTACAACACAATTCCGTTTTGACGTTCACTTACGAGTTCGGACAAAATCACACCTTGCCTTTCCTGGACATACTGGTGCAAAACGATAATAATTCGTTCGTCACTAAAGATTATCGGAAACCTTCAGACGTTGGAATGGTAGCGAACGAAGAAAGCGAATGTCCCCAACGCTACAAAATCAGCACCATACGCGCCCTCATACATCGAGCGTTCAAGACCTGTACATCCGCTCGCGACTTGAAAACTGATCTCCGGATCTGCAAGCAAATTCTTGTTAACAACGGTTATGCGAACTAAACAATTGACACAGCAATTTCAAATTTTCGAGCACGTTAAAACCAAACAGATGAATCCACATCAAGAGGTTGCGTAACCAGAATTTATTATCAAAATCAAAGGAACGACGGTCATAGGACTGACGGACGAGTCCTCAATTCAATTGTGCAAAATAACGTCAGCTGCAAAACAGTAACTGAACAAATAAAGCTTTCGATTTACTACAAAAACAAGACGATAAAAAAATTAATCATGATTAGCAATCCGTGTAAAAAGCCCGGATTGCTGCAATAAACCAATTTCATTTACAAATTTTACTGCTTGAAAGGTTGTAGACTTCTGCTAAATGTAAATTACATCGGTTTGATAAGCACGACATTGAGTCGCAGACTCACATGCCATCTGCAAGCTGGAGGACCAAAGAATCACATGCGGGAGGCCCACAACGAGACCATCACCCATGTCACGTTGGAGGCCTGCACCAGCATCATCATGTGGTGCCCCGACACTACTAGACTGTCGATAGCGGAGGCTCTCACTATCAAAGACGAGTCTCCTGCTATCAATTTGCAAACCGCCGTATTAATCAGGACGTTGAAATAATTCTCGGATTAATTTAATTTCGATTTTAAACCGTATATATGATACTTTCTGTATGAACTTATGTCATGTCCACATTTCAATTTTAAGCGTTATAATAACTCTTCATGCTTGATAGTGAATATTGATACATTCGAAACGTCGTATCCCAGTAAAATGTCATTTGGTAACTTGCTTTTTGATCTCCAGGCACCAGCAAGAAATTTCGTTGGGCTTATTGAAAAAAAAATTGTTAATAAAAAGTACGCTCTGGTCTTCAATCGAACCTGTATAAATGAAAAACTTCTGCCTAACTACACTACTATACATATATCATTCATTCGCTCTGATCTTTGAACGGCATATTTTTAAGTGAATTCTCAAACGCATATCGAATTATCACTTATGTACGCACATCGCTTCCTGAGGCAGCGGAGGCAGACTGAAAATAATTTTTCTTACATTCTCGTGCATTCTCATTTCAAAACATTTTTGAACTTAACTTTGATTCTCGACCCACTAATATTGGTAAATTTTTTCACTTTCCTTCACGATAATTGCGTTATAATAATAAAATCAGTCATGTTTGTGGTAGTTTTCGTTATGATTTTAACCTCATGAAAGATTCGCCATGCGCTGTCTAATTCTCCACTAAAATGCGACTTTTCTCTTGTATCCTGTATGATTCAAGCTGAGATGCATATTAATTATTTATTTTATCATTCACTATTGAAAAATTACCTCGCTTTAGATCAACAACGCCGGGATTATGTCGTCTGATAAGAGGAAGTTGTCGCCTCAAGGCTTCGAGCATGCCCGGAAGTCATATTCGATCCGCGGCCTGGTGGTGCACGGCAGGTTCTATGCAAGACCGGAGGAGGACAAAGCCGAGTGGTTCACGGCTGATTGGTGGATGTCCGAAGAGATCCAAGGCGTGCGATTAAGGGCTTATTGGTGTACACAATTAGTGGTGCAGGGCTGCGCTCCCTTCGAGGCTCGAGCTCACACTTGCTACCAACCACCTGGGACCCTTCCTGCTCACCAATCTGCTGCTCGGTAATAAGTGTTAACCATTTAGCCCGTCCCAAGAACTCGTACTGCTCATCTAATGTTTCCTCGAATCGTTTGTCGGGGTAACACTTTGTGTGTTGTACATTTTACCCTTTTTTGCAAGACATTTTGCCTACTCGTGAATCAGAACATAATTTTATTATCTTTTTATAAAAAACGATAATTAACCGTAATAATCTTACACTCCCTCTGGTGGTCTGACTGTGCAGACAAGATCAAGGTGAGCGCCCCTAGCCGCAGTGAACGTATATCGTCGATCAGCTACGCAGCTAACGTGCTCTACTTGGATGACCTCAACTTAGAAAAGACTACTTATATGGCGTTTACAGAGCGTACTGCCAGAGCAAGCTCTGCAATATACTCTTCACTAAAGAGCTCGCCGTGCGCCTACGAGGAACAGGTACGGTGAGTTTTACACTGTTTTCAGCGCATTTTCTCATTTATGGAAAAAATGCACTATTGTGCTCGCCATGTCCGTACTCCGTCCGTCCATCTGTCCGTCTGTCTGTCTGTCCGTCCGTGACTTCATGTTTTCGTCGAAGAATAAATGTGCTCTCTGTCACTCACTGCAGTGAGTACTGAGTTATATTTTTTCTGTTTTCACTGTTTTCACGGGACTCATTGTTTACTCGTTTTCAGTTAATGCTATTAAATCTCTGTCTATTGACTGTAACTCTCGAGACCCAGGTGTCCGGTGTCAATCTGGCGTCTCATTATAATAATTATTATTGTATGTAATTGAGACGTAATATTCACTTGACCTGATAGAGATTGAGGACGAGTCAACATCTGGAAGACACGTGATCGATCACGTGATCAAGACCTTAGTTGGGCGGAAGCGAATCCTGTATAAGGCCTAGCAACCGTAAGTAAGGCCCCCGCAGTAGTTTATAAGCGCTCCGCGATGTAACGTGTCGTTCGGCTCTCCGACTTTACGGTCGACGCCGTAACTTATAACTCTGTATCGTACTAAAGTATTATCACCCTGTATACAAGATATGTTATCTGGACAGACGTGTCTTACTTACCTTCACTACCTTAGTCAACGAACCAAATCCTTTAGGTAGAGCTTAATATATAAGCTCTGACACAGGCATTTAGATTCGAATGACATTGCATCACTGTTTCGTTTTACCTTGATAAATGACCATGTTTCGTGAATAAAAATTATTAACAACGTTCGATTGCTAATAATCTTGCACAAATTATCAGCTTCATTAATGACAAAATGTTTTGTTTTCAACGCCATGATTGATGCGTTTTTGCAATGTCCAGGGGTGACGACGAACTGCTTGCATCCTGGCAATGTGTACACTGACATCTTCTACCGCGGCGGGGGACCTGACGCTGGACTGAACTTCTTTAACCTTTCGTCCAGAGTGATGGTTCGGGTGAGCTGACTATCCTTAACCTCTCGTCCAGAGTGATGGTTCGGGTGAGCTGACTATCCGTAACCTCTCCCCCAGCATGATGGGTCGGGTGAGCTGACTATCCTTAACCTCTCCTCCAGCGTGATGGGTCGGGTGAGCTGACTATCCTTAACCTCTCTCCCAGTGTGATGGGTCGGGTGAGCTAACTATCCGTAACCTCTCCCCCAGAGTGATGGGTCGGGTGAGCTGACTATCCTTAACCTCTCTCCCAGTGTGATGGGTCGGGTAAGCTGACTATCCGTAACCTCTCCCCCAGAGTGATGGGTCGGGTGAGCTGACTATCCTTAACCTCTCTCCCTATGTGATTCCGGGAGAGAAAATTATCCCTGCAATTGGAAAAAAACCTATATTTTTATTCCTACTCTTCCTTAAATTTTCCAGTGCCTCAAGTTTACGTCGTTTATTCAATATTTTACTCTAAGTTGTTATCCCAACACAATAAGTATCGTGTATGCGCGCTCAAACGCCCCCATATATTCGCGGTGCCAGGCTACAAATGCACAATCTTCGACAAATGCCATATAAAGGCGTCCCTAAATAAATTAAACGCCCCGACTTTTTAAATGCATTGCCACTTCAAATTAACATTATTTAACTGCAATTTTTTGTTTATCTTATAGAATGCATTTTATGCAATGACATACCTTGTGAAAATGAAATAAAACTAAACTTATTACTTTTTCTGCTTGTATGGCAGACGAGCGAGCAAGGGGCCCAGACTACGCTGTACCTGGCGTTGTCTGAAGAAGGTGGGCGAGAATCTGGCTGTTACTACGAAAAATGCAGGGTGAGATTCGGCATTTGATTTGTATTCAATTTAATCATTTTGTTTGCTTGCTGTGAATTAATTCTGAAATACTATAAATTAACAACGCATCAAGTTATAGAATCTGTGTCTCAAAGACATATATTTGTAAAATGAACCTCCTCGAGACATACCAATACATATGGTTTTTAAATACAACCTTTTTCTGTTATTTTAAAAGAGCAGTGAAAAATATACTCTCTGAGGGAGCGCAGCCGTGGGTAACAAAATTGACTCGTAGACAGGCCCTGGGCCCAACGCCAACCATCAGCATGCAATATCAACACATAGCCTCAGACCAATGAGCTGTGGGTAACTCTGGCTAACAGTAAATCCGCTTTGCACAACACAGCCACTGCTTCACAGCGCCGGAGCCCAACTGGCCGGAACGCAACAGATCCTACCGCAACAGGCGGCGCAGGTTAGGTTAGGTTACGTTAGGAGTAGCTGTTGCGGTAGGGCCTGCTGCGCTCCGGCCAGTTGGGATCCGGCCTGTATGCGCTCCGGCCTGTGACTGAACTGCGCTGTTGTGGTGGGCGCTTAGTGTCAAAAGCCGTGAAGATGCCCTGCTGCGTTGCGCTTGGGAAAGTATATGAATCGCACTGTGGACTTTGGCTATGCTGACCTCTAGCTATCCACCCTTCTCTGTACCCCTCGTTGTCTAAATAGTTCTCTATTCTTCGTTCAGAAAACGCGCTTGTACCGCAAAGTCAACGACATGGAGCTGGCTAAAAAATTGTGGCAAGAGTCCAGCCGGCTGGTGGAGCTGTCAGACGAGCGGCCATCGGACGTCGAAACAACGTCGATCAATAGTAGATTCCAGACTGCAACTGCTGATAATTTTGAATTGAACATCAAACCACAACTATTGATAGATAAGAATTAAACATCAAAATGACATAAAAAAGTAATACTCGGAAGGATACAAATCAATCCGGATTCGTAGGTGAAAAGCATTGATTTATTATTATTGTATGCTTGATTAAATTCCCGGATAATATTCAATGAGGAAAACTAAAATAAATTCAACACAATTATTGAATATCTGTCAAAAATCAACTGTTTTTTATGCTTGATTTTTGATCAGCAATTTGGAAAATCCAATTGTACAAGCATTTCAACGTGGCTCCGAAATCACTCCCAACGAAACAATTTAGTTGCAACCTTTTGACCTTTAGCTAAAAGTCAGCAAACTTTCAAAGTTGACGCTAGAATCTCCTCGAAAACGAGCCTCTTTTTATCGTAGGTTCCTTAATAATTGACAAGATTATTTCAATTCCAAAATATTGCAACGCCCACGAAGAACACTTATCTTTCCTTATCGTAAATGTTGACCTTAACATTTAATCACTAATTACTTTTTTTACCAACCGTCATGAACAATAATTTCCTCAGCTCACAGTTAGTTCTCGTTTGTAACTCTCTCCAACCGTGTGTTGGCTTACCTTTCCTTTTTTTCATGTTATATGAATGAAGGAAGTATAGACAAATAAATAAAAGTTTATAGGTTCTCTCTCTTCTATGAAATCATCTTGTTAGTAAATGCTGCTTAGTGTGCGTCAGAGATTTGAATAATGTGAATATTTTTACAAATTCATCTAAAAAGGTTTATACCGGTAGTCACATATTAGTACAATTTTCATGTGTGGTCATCTCAAAACTACTACAAGGAATATGGCGATAAGCAATAAATTGTTTGGGTACGTCTGACCTGTTATACTCTAGTAAATGTCATTCGAAAGTGATAGTTTTCAATTAAGTTAGACAAAAGCGTTTTGGGGTTAAAAAAATTTTGCTCATTTTCGAATAATTTTTGTCCTGGAATGATTGAATTTACAGTGAACGATATTTGGGTCAGTGATGCCACACGAGCCACGCTCAAATGAGTAATGTTATTCCATGTTTTTCTTTCTTTAGATTACTTAAATAACCAATAATTTTCCTGACATGGATGTTATAAAATCGCAACCATAATTCTCTCGGTAGAATCTTCTGTATGAAGAAACACTAAGTTAGATAACATCACATATAACATAATGATGTCGGCGCTGAAATGTAGGCCTGATGTGGCCTGTCGCCGATTCTTTTCCTTTTCGTGCCTTGTTCATAGATCTAAACTCGTGTCATTTGACCGGATCTTTTCATGACTGGCCATAGTTTGAAGTAGCTACTAGACTTCCACCGGGTTCGATAAGGAGCTTTAATTCGGAATTCGCATCAAAACACAACTGTTGGTAAATCAGAATTGAACATCAAAATGACGTCAAAAAAGTCAAATGCGTGGAAGGATACTGAGCAATCCGGATTCGTCATCGAAAAGCGTTGTTTTTTGATTATTATTTGCTTGAATAAACTTTCGAATATTCAACAATGAAAAAAATTCAACACAAACATTGAATGTTTATAAAAACAGCTTATTATTTTGTTTGTTTGTTTTTTGTTCAACAAATTGAAGAATTCAATTTTATTAGCTTTTGAACGTTGCTCCGAAATCACTCACAACGAAACAATTTCGTGGCAACCTTTTAGCCCTCAGCAAACGGCAGCAAATTTTCAACGTTGACGTTAAACTCTTCTCAATAACGAGCGCCTTTTTCCCCTTAGGTTCTTAATTAATTAATTGACAAGATTATTGCAATTTCAAAATATTGTAACGCATAAACATTAAATCTCGACCGCGTAGAACACTTATGTTTCCTTATCTTAAATGTTGACCTTAACATTTAATCAATAACTATTTCTTTTTAATCAACCGTCATGAACAATGATTTCCGTCAGTAGTTCTCGTCAGTAACTCGTTCCAGTCATGTGTTGGCTTACCGTTCCACCGTTCACCTTTCGTTTCCACTTCGTTCATTGAGATGAACGAAGGAAGAATAGGCAAATAAAACGATGGTTATAAATTCTCTCTCTTCTATGAAATTATCTTGTTGCCATGGTAATTGCTGCATAGTGAGCGTTAACGATTTGGAGAATGTAAATATTTTCATAAATTCTATTTATTTCATAAATTTACACTGGTAGTAACACATTTGCACAATTTACATGTGTGATCATCTCCATACTACGAACCAAACTTGGCTACGTGGAATATGGCTGTAAACTAGACATTTTTTGAGTGTCTCTGGTTTAATATACTCTATAGTAAATGACATTCGAAAGTGATAGATTTTAATTAACCGTTTTTTGCATTCATAAAACAAAACTGTGCCTATTTTTAATAATTTTTGAGATAGAATGATTGAAATTATCGTTGTACGATTCGTATGGAATTTCTTCCTACGCAGAGAGTTACCGTCGTCTAGAAATTCTTTCATAATGTGTAACAAGGAATGGAGCCGGTGACAAGAACAGATTTGATTTCAAACAGATTTGATTTGATTTCTTCTGCTGTATAAGATGCGGTTACTTCCATCGAGGTAATCCCAAAAAATCAGTATCCAGGTCAACTTCATGGGGACCAAGACTTGGAGTTTTGAGGAAGGCATACTGAACAAGGAGTCAAGGAAATACATTAAGTTAAAACCAAGAGGATTCGAGTACATTACTGTGAGAATATCAGGTTTACGACATCACAATAATTCGGGGTAACGCTCATTTTATTTAAATCAAAATAAGTGCACGTACGTGGTGCTGTTAGGAAGGAAGTGGACAATATGCAGTTCTCCATTGGGAAGTTTATACTCGGCCACTAGAGGTAACTGCAAACCGCATGAGATCCAAGTTTAAAGGTCGACACAGTTCCTTAATTAAAAGCACAATAACCTACTTTGAACATCTTAACACTACAGGTATAAGAGTTTAGGATTCAAATATAATCCCCCAATCAAAGTAGATAGTTAACAAAGTTTCAATGAGAACTTACGGTGCTGGTGAAGCACGGGTTAAGTATTAAACTGATATTTCCTTAAGGGGCAACAGCCACTAAATTTGATAGGTCTGCCAAGATGTTCATAATGAGGTGATTAACGGTTAAAGGTTTACGGTTAACGGTTAACAGTTTACGGTTAACGGTTAACGGTTAGCGGTTAACGGTTAGCGGTTAACGGTTAGCTGTTAACGGTTGACGGTTAGCGGTTAACGGTTAACGGTTGACGGTTAACGGTTGACGGTTAACGGGTAACGGTTAACTGTTAACGGTTCACGATTAACGGTTAACGGTTAAAGATTAACGGTTAACGGTTGACGATTAACGGTTAACGGTTAACGGTTAGCGGTTAACGGTTAACGATTAAAGGTTAACGGTTAACGGTTATTGTTTAACGGTTAACGGTTAACGGATAACGGTTAACGGTTAACGGTTAACGGTTAACGGTTCATTGCCGTGCTCTTCCACCAACTCCTCTCTTTTTCGAGCACCAAGAGTTGGTTTTTCGCAATCACGGCAAAACCAATGAAGCAATTTAGATTTCTGGAGAAATGAGTACTCCTTAGAGCTCTACTTTGAACAGCTGATACAAATGAGATCGTCACATCGTTCACAGGTGATACTTCGTCTGGACTTCGCTCAGAGATATCTCTTTGCAGTACTTGCAAACTTCCATCTCTAGCTGAGCTGATTTGGTTTTATTTTTTATTCTAGAGGCCGTAGATGGCTTTTCTCTAGAGGCCGTTGAGGGCTTTTCGACTATCTTTTTTATTTTCTTTCCAGCCATTATTAAATGCACGAACTAGATCTCTTGAACGGAGAAAAATACAGAAAAGGACGGAGAAACATACGACTGAGTTACAATGCACGGAGGAAAACAAAAGTGTAAAAACTGAATTGACTTGAGTAGAGTTGAAGTTAAAATTCTATTTAAAACAGAATTGGAAATTAAAAATACAATGCACGGAAAACACGCAATTTTGAAACTGAATTGACTTTGAGTAGAGTTAAAGTTCCGTCAAAAATTACGACTCTAGCTAACGTGTCTAAGTAACGTGTATTCCGCTGAAATACCAATGGCATCACCATCGACGAAGTTTAAGAAGATATCGATTTACAAAATGCTGTGCATTTTTATTGATGTGATAATATTCGTGAAAGGTTTTCTATCTATTCTCTTATCTTGACGATAATTGATTAATCATCATTTTTTGACAAGTCGATGCTTATACGAGTTATACGCCGTTGATCAATCGGCAAAACCTCAACTCGATGAAGTCGTATTATTTGGTCCGTGTAAAATGATCAAGTTAGTCCTTCTTGTAATCTTTAAAATAAAATAGTATTAATTGAGGTTTGGATGCAAATCATTTAAATAAATGTCAATGCTATTTTCAGTAATTGGTGATTCTTACACAAAATTTATTTGAGGAGCTTTTCAGGTAGCAATGCATGCAATATGTGTTGTCATCGTAAGAGATAAAGCCATATCTGTAGGATCAACGATTCTTGGCAGCGCCGAATTTGGAAAACAAACTGGGTCGATAACTCGCAACTCACTGCAGCGTAGATGCTGTTATGCACTAGTCGGTTACCTAGCCAATATCGACTAGATTTTTTTTTATAGCTGGATTTCGCCATAAACCGTACCTATCGGCACCAATATTGATGATGTAAACCACTTGCCGACCTCAAAACAATCCCTGGGACACATTCGTTTTGCCAGAATTGCTCGGAAACTGTGCCACGAACAAGGACAAGGTCAGGAAGCTTAATCATTGACTCTAATGCTGAGTTTTCATGTTAAAAATTTTGCCCTATACGTCTCTTATACAATTTTTGTGTTTACGTCTCTGCAGTAAGATAACTAAATGGCTCTGAGGGTATTTTTCAGGTCCGTATCACCATATGTCCGATTGCTTTTATTTTTTTTCTCGAATGAACCTAGTGTACTGAAAAATCTTAGATTTAATTACCGGTTTAAATTGTGTTCAATATCAATAATCTTCAGTGCAAAATCATTTGGAGAAAAGACTACAAAATGAAATTCGTTGTATACTGATCCCAAGAACGCGCAAATAGAGAAAGTCTAAAAATGTAATTATGTGATAATCTTAAATTAAATTATTTTTGATGAGTTCAAATTTATTTTCCTCTGAACTTTTTTATTCATTCTGTGATACTCGTAATTTATTGAAAAGAATGCAAAGTTAATTGAGGCTTTGAATTAATTTTAACTAATGATTTAT